AGATGTAAGAGAATGAAAAACTGTAGACGACCAAAAATACCAGAGACAATTCCAGCATTAATACAGCTTTTAAATATGCCAGAACACATTAGCTATAGAACTACTCTACGTGAACCATCGTCAGACTTTTTTCAACAGGCATTAACTGTTGAAGGTATTACAATCGGTGTAATATTTGCAAATTTAGATTTGATAGCAATGTTTAACGAAGAGTTACGCACTGTAACTTATGTAGGTTGTGACGGAACATTTAAGACCACTCCGAGTTCACCTAAACAGTTCCGTAGAGGTTCATTAATGACATTTCAAATTGTATACAAAAATGTTGTAAGTTTATTTTGGTAAATTATTAAAAAAATAAAAATAATTATTTAGGTAAATAACATTTTGATAATGCTTACTAGTCATTTCCAATTGTATATGCACTCTTGTCCACGACTACAGAACAAGCATACATCACTTTCTTTCTGGTAGTTAGAAATATGTTACCATTAAATTATGATGGTCTTACAATAATCACAGATTATGAGCGTGGGCTGATGAATGCTGTACAAGAGGTGTTTCCAGAGAGTCGACTACAATGTTGTTGGTTTCATTTCTGCCAGGTTATTACCTTTTACTTCCCCTAAGCTGTAAACAATTTGTAAAACTGTAGAAAAAAAAATTTATGTTTTGCTTAAAAAAATTATAAATACTTTTCTTTTAGTCAATTGTGAGATATTGTCGGCGTAGGTACAATCTGGTATTAGACCTCATTAAAACCAATCCTATAGCTGCCCGTGTATTGCGCATGGTAATGAAATATTTATACCTATATAAATGAAATAAATTGAATAAGAAATATATTGTTTGTAATTTAGGTTTTAGCATTGCCTCATTTACCACCTAACAGAGGAAATGAAAGTTGCCCAAATTTTTGTATAGAGGATGGTTTTAGGGCAATTTTACAATATGCGCATCAAAATAATGAAATCTACCAACGCATGGAAACATTTTTGATTGGGTATATATTTGTTGAACACTTAAGTTTAACATGTAACTTATCATACTTATATGAAATAAAAAAAATAAAATTATAATGATTAACATGTTTTAATTAACAGATACGTACAAAACTTTTGGTTGATTCAAGTTGGACCTGAATTAATAACAGTATTTGCTAGCGAGATTAGAACAAATAATTATTTGGAATCTTTCCACAATCAACTACTCAGGTTTTTTGGGATGCATCCTAACATCTGGGACTTTATACTTAATAATCTATAAAAAAATAATTTATTTTTTATTCATTCATAAACATTTTTTTTCCGCATCAAATTATATACTAATTACTTTGTAGGCATAATTTCTTAATGTATTTATTTTAAATTAATGTACGCTATATAGAGAAACTGAGAATTTTGGAAAACCAATATTATGTGGAGATGTTACAAGCAAGAAGAAATCTTACCGTAAGCCTTAAAGACAACCATTGGATTAAAACTAAATAACATTATAATCAATCCTATTGGTTATATTTCTTGTTTAGATCCGGGATCAAACTTCTAGAGGGGAACGTGCTGTAAACACAGCGCTAATAAGGAGATCAATCGAGCAGCTTAATGAAGTCAATGACGTATTAAAATGTCTCAGAAGCATGGGCCGAGCTAATGCTGATTACCTAAGACGCCAAATCGGTCCACCTCCATCACCATAGCCTCCATCCTATAAATAATTATTATATTTTTACACTATTTTTACACTATTATTAACATTTATTTACAATTTATTTAACGAACAATTAATATCTTTTAGTTCATTTTAGATTCTGAGCAAAGCAATGAATGTATTGTATTTACAATGATGTATGTTTTTATTTTTTTTTTATACATAGGCAAAATTTTTGTCAGAATCTAGAAATTTATCAATCATTGCAATTAAAAATTTATAAAATGTTCAGTTTTTATAACTAAGAGTTGAAAATTTAAAACAAAGATTCTTTTAAATAATTCAACTGTAACAAAAAATCTAAAAAATATATAAACACACTTATTTTTTACAAACATTTTAAATTCAAATTTGGACAAAACTACATATTTAAAACAAAAATAACGATTTTGGTTATTTTGTTATAATTTAAAAATTCGCGTTCGCTCAGAATCGTTTTTCTTATTCAATTATATTAAATGAATCATTGGATTCAAATTTAAAACAATCCATGACAGTGACTTACGTGTAACCTACTGTACAGCAGAGTGACATCCACTTGACCACCCTTTTTTAAATTTTATTATAACTTTTTAAAATTTTAACTACTTAACTAGTTCGTTAGTTTCAACTTTCAGATGTTTCAATGAAATATGAATGTTTAAATTTAAACCATACCTGAACGGCTAAACCTAACCTATAACATTTTTAAAACATGTTGGCAACACCATTTAAAATATTAACAGTCATTAACAAATTATGTTGGCCACAATGTTCTTCCAAGATATTATCAGTAATATTACATTTTGGAAGAACTGTTCTGAGACCGCCGTTCGCGATCGCGTTCAAAATCTCGCAACACCAACAAAAACAACTTGTGTTTTTATCACAATCGTTTCGGCGCGGATGCGAAAAATTGTAGATCTCCGTGCAATTTCAAACCGGTGGAAAACTGATAGGAGCGGCGGAGACAGACCAGTCTCTCGCCGCTCGTAACAGTCGACGCGTTTTCGTCACCGACGCATATTCCGGGAGGCGCTTCCTCATCGATTCAGGGGCCGACATTTCAGTCCTTCCACCGTCTGTTGGTCAAAGACCGATCTCCGGAATTGTCCTCACCGCCGCTAACGGAACAAGAATTCAAACCTACGGGCGGAAGTCGCTTAACCTCGATCTGGGACTCACCAGGCCTTTTACGTGGACATTCGAGATCGCAGATGTCACCAGAGGTATCATAGGAGCAGATTTTCTCCACTATTTCGGATTGCTGGTTGACGTCCGCCGCAGTCGCCTAGTCGATTTGAGTTCCGGTCTTGCTTCGAAGATTGCTACTGTAAGTACCGTTCCGCCAACTATTTGCGTGATATCACAACCGCATACGTGGACCAAGTTAGTTGCCGAGTTCCCCAAGATTACACGTGAATCTCCGGTCCCCGCCGCGTTTACGCATAACGTCGAGCACGTATTGACTACTACCGGACCGCCCGTATTTACGCGTCCACGTCGACTCGCTCCCGATCGTCTCGCCGTAGCGCGAAAGGAGTTCGAATTCATGCTTCAGGCTGGTATATGTCGACCGTCAGACAGCGCTTGGGCCAGCCCGTTTTTGCTTGTCGGTAAGAAAGACGGCTCTTTTTGTCCCTGCGGTGACTACCGACGATTAAACGCCGTGACCAAACCAGATCGATACCCTCTTCCTCACATACACGACTTTTGCAATAACCTTTATGGTAGAACGATTTTTTCGAAGCTCGACCTGGTGCGCGCTTACCACCAGATTCCGGTCGCACACGGGGACATCCCAAAAACAGCCGTGACAACGCCCTTTGGGTTGTATGAATTCCCAGTCATGTGCTTCGGCCTTAAAAATGCCGCACAAACCTTTCAGCGTTTTGTCAACGAGATCCTCCGTGGTTTGGATTTTGTTTTCGCCTACATTGATGACGTATTGATTGCATCGCATTCCGAACGAGAACACGAGACACACTTACGTTCCGTCCTGGAACAATTTCAAAAATACGGTGTGGCAATCTACGTCAGCAAGTGCGTTTTCGGAGTTCAACAGTTGGTTTTTCTCGGGCACCTCGTCAATGGCAAAGGATGCAGTCCGTTACCCGAATGAGTCGATGACGTTCAGAATTGGCCGCTCCCGTCGTCAAAAAAATCGCTTCAACGTTTCCTCGGCTCGATCAATTATTACCACAGGTTTATTCCAAACGCAGCTCAGTTACAAGCCCCGTTATACGATCTCGTTTCGTCAGTCAAACAGAAAGACGGAAAGTTGCAGTGGACACAAGATACACGCGATGCTTTCGAAAAATCGCGCAACGCTCTCGCGAGCACCGTACATTTAGCTCACCCCATGCCGGACGCTAATCTCCGAATCGCGACTGACGCATCGAACACGGCCATTGGCGCGGTTTTAGAGCAATTTAACAACGACCGTTGGGAACCACTCGGTTTTTTCTCGAGGAAGTTGACGCCCACACAAGCCCGCTATAGCACTTTCGACCGAGAATTACTGGCAGCGTACCAAGCAATTCGTCATTTTCTTCATTTCGTCGAAGGTAGGTGCACCGCGTTGTTAACCGACCATAAACCACTTACACACATGTTAACCGCCAAGACCGACAAGTACAGCGACAGGCAAATGCGGCACATCAGCTTTATCGCGCAGTTCGTACAACGGGTCGAACACGTCCAAGGTGACAAAAATGTAGTTCCGGACGCCCTTTCTCGACTCGAGACTGTCACTTGTCACGCACAACTACCAGATTTCGCGTCATTAGCTATGGACCAAGCTGAAGATCCAGAGTTGAAGGGCCTGCTGAACGGTACACTCACCAGTTCTTTGCGCCTGGAGGCGCATGATACGGTTTCAGGTCCTGTCTATTTCGACGTTTCGGCACCCGGCAGGTTGCGTACCTACGTCCCCGCGACGCTTCGACGTCGTGTTTTTGATATCATTCATAACCAGGCTCACCCCGGCATCAAAGCTACGCTCGCCTTGGTCAAGGAACGACACAGTTGGGTGAACATGGATCGACAGATCCGCAACTGGGCAAGGAGTTGCATAACTTGCCAACGGACCAAGGTGCAACGTCACGTTATAGCGCCGGTGATGCCTTTTGCGGTACCTGAGCGACGATTCGGACATATTCATATTGATCTGGTCGGGCCTTTACCTCCTTCCGACGGGCACGAGTACTTACTCACGGCCATAGACAGGTACACTCGCTGGCCAGAAGCATACCCACTAATCAATATGTCAGCTTATGTTGTCGCCGACAAACTAGTCTCGCAGTGGTTTTCGCGCTTCGGTATCCCTGACATTGTTACAACGGACCAAGGAAGGCAATTTGAGTCCCAGTTATTCGCGTCTCTCAGTAAAACTTACGGTTTCCGTCATATTCGAACTTCTCCTTACCACCCGCAGGCAAACTGCCTAATCGAGCGATTGCACCGGCCGCTCAAAGCAGCATTGACCGCCCACAACAACCCTCAATGGACCAAGAGTTTGCCGACGGTACTTTTAGCGCTTCGCAGCATCACTAAACCAGAACTGGGTTGTTCGCCCGCTGAAATGGTCTACGGTACGACATTGCGCTTGCCCGGCGAATTTTTCCACGCTGTCCAACCCGAGCCTCATGCCCCGGATTTGATCCGCGTCCTCAAGGAGTCGATGTCATTACTCCGCCCAATTCCAGGTACAGATCATTCGAAACGTTCGATTTTCGTCCCGGAAGAGCTACAAGCCGCTACGCACGTATTTCTCCGCGTCGATTCGACGCGAAAGCCACTTCAACCGCGTTACGACGGTCCCTTCGCCGTGTTAGACCGCAATAGTACAAATTTTAAGCTACAGCTTAATAATCGTACGAGTTGGATCGCGATAGATCGTCTTAAGCCAGCCTTCATCCTCCGAGAAGATCCTGTAGCCGACCACTCATACGCCGCCAACCTCGTCGAGTCACAATCTCTATCAACATCTCAGATTCAATCCATTCTACGCAGCCCAGAGTGTGAGCGCACCAAAAAACGAGTTCGTTTCTTTTTCCCAAGGGGGAGGTAGTGTGGCGACCTCTCACCTTATCATTGTTAACGCGGCAACGCAGCGACCGTTTCCCCCCTCTCGACTCAACACGACCAGGTCCCGCTAGTGGTCGTTTTATTTTTGCCTTCGTTGTTGACCGTTATCCGCTGCGTCGTCGCGTACACGTTTGCTAACTGTATTTAAGCTCCGTCAATAAAATCGCCTTTTTTTGTATATTTACTAAATACCTTTTTTTTACTTTATTTTCCTCATAGTTCATTGACCACAGGTCAGGACTATAGCCAAAATATCATTGATTATACGTGATTATACCACAGAATAAATTTATTCTGTGATTAAACATAGTATACGCAACGCATAATCAATGATAATATTAATCATGGATCACGGACTACCCGACTACGGTTGTATAACTTTTAGAAACTAAGAACTTTTTGTGCTCTAAAAAAAAAACAATGGACAAATCTTCAACAAAAAACAAATTGAACAAGTATTTATTCACAAAGACTGTTGATATAAAAAGAAAAACTGTTGATCAGAATACTTTCATTAATAATGATAATGTAAGTAGAAATTGTAATACTTAATACAATTTAGAAGTTTATAAAGATTGTTTTTAAAACTGCATAATTTTATGATTACTTAATTTTAAGTTTGATGTTTTATACAATTAATAATAATTTATAATACCTAGTACCTACAAGTGATTAAAATATTATAATACATACCTACCAAACACAAATACATAATACAAATTAAATTTTAAAATGTAATGTATTATATATTTATATGTATGTATTATGTGTATTTGATATCATAAATATTATACCTTATTTAGAATTTTAATTTTAATTTAATTTAGAATCTATATAATAGTACATTGGTGGACACTTATACCAAAACAAGTTACCAGAATGAATCAAACACATCTTATTCAAGTAATAAATTATGATATTTTTATTTGTATTTTTTTTTTAAATGATTTAGTTTTGTAATTTTGTATTTGTTTATGTAAAACAATTATTCCCTAACCATTTAAATGGCATATGTTGTGTTTTAATATTTGTGTTATTGTATTAATTATTATATGTCTTACAAATTTGGTTAATTATTTTTATTTTTTTTTAATAAAATCAAACATCCTCAAGGTGTATCACCTACCAATCATCAAGATAAGAGTGATAAGACATAAGTATAATTTAGTTTAAATAATATATATTTTAATTGTATGGTTGTATGGTTATTGGTTGCTTGGTGTTTTTTGTGAATTGCTTGGTGATTATTTCAAATAGATTTGTAGTATGCATTAACATGGTATTTAGGTGTGGTGATTTAGTTGTATTCTGTATATTATTTAGGTAGTAAATAAAAATAAAATTATAATTTATAATCTGTGTACTGTTGGTTAGGCATTCTAGGTAAAGAAGATATTGACATACATCCTGATGATCCAATAAATCCAGTTCCTAAAAATAAAGTTGAGTTCAAACAAAGAGTTTTAAAAGGACCGTATCAACCAGTAAATATAAATTTTCCAAGAAGTACTTTTGGTAATAGGTATCGA